TCCATACTGGGTTATACTGGGAGGTGCTGGTTTACACTGGTTTGTACTGGGGTATACTGGTTTATACTGGTTTATACTGGGATACGGAGAGCTCAGTACTGGGACACTGGGAAGGACTGGGACAAACTGGGACAGACTGGGAGGGGACACTGGGGACACTGGGAGGGGACACTGGGGGGACACTGGGAGGGACTGGGACAAACTGGGACAGACTGGGACAGACTGGGAGGCGACACTGGGGACACTGGGAGGGGACACTGGGAGGGAACTGGGATGGACTGGGAGGGACTGGAAGGGGACACTGGGAACACTGAGGGGACATTGTGGGGACAGACTGGGACAAACTGGGACAGACTGGGAGGGGACATTGAGGACATTGAGAGGGGACACTGGGGGGACACTGGGAGGGACTGGGACAAACTGGGACAAACTGGGACAGACTGGGAGGTGACACTGGGCACACTGGGAGGGGACACTGGGGACATTTGGGGACACTGGGAGGGAACTGGGATGAACTGGGAGGGACTGGGAAGCGACACTGGGGACATGGGGAGGGGACACTGGGGACATTTGGGGACATTGAGAGGGGACACTGGGAGGGACTGGGAAGCAACCCTGGGGACACTGAGGGGACATTGTGGGGACAGACTGGGATAAACTGGGACAGACTGGGAGGGGACACTGGGAGGTGACGGGGGGAGGTGACAGGGCTGTCCCAGGGGGTGGTGACAGTGACAATCCTGATGCCCCCGGGGCCGTTCCTGGTGTCACAGGGGAGGTGACAGGGGGGAGGTGACACAGGTGACAGGGGGGAGGTGACAGGGCTGTCCCTTGTGGGCAGTCCCTGCTGTCCCAGGGGGAGGTGACAGGGAGGTGACAGAGCTGTCCCTGATGTCCCCGATGTCCCCAGGGCCATTCCTGGCGTCCCAGGGGGAGGTGACAGGGGGAGGTGACACTGCTGTCCCCTGGTGTGGCAGCTGCTGTCCCGTGCTCCGTCCGTCGGTCTGTCCCTGTCCCTGTGTCACAGGGGGAGGTGACAGGGCTGTCCCAGGGCTGTCCCAGGGCTGTCCCCGGGCCGTCCCCGGGAGGTGACGGTGACAATCCCCGCTGTCCCCAGGGCAGTTCCTGGTGTCGCAGCTGCTGTCCCGCGGTCCGGCCGTCGGTCTGTCCCTCGCCTTTGTCTGGGCTCGCCGCTGGGAGGCGCTGGAGGCGCTGCCGCCCCCTCTGCGCCTGCGCGACCTGCGGGACCTGCCCGGCACGTGAGGGACCCCAAAACGGGCCGAATTCACCCCAAAAATGGCCCCAAAAATGGCCCTAATTCGACCCAAAAATGTCCCCAAAAATGACACGAATTCGACCCAAAAATGACTCAAAAATGGCCCTAATTCGACCCAAAAATGTCCCCAAAATGGCCCGAATTCGACCCAAAAATGGCCCTAATTCGACCCAAAAATGTCCCTAAAAATGGCCTGAATTCGACCCAAAAATGTACCCAAAAATGGCCTGAATTCGACCCAAAATGTCCCTAAAAATGGCCTGAATTCGACCCAAAAATGTCCCCCAAAATGGCCCGAATTCAACCCAAAAATGGCCTGAATTCGATCCAAAAATGTCCCCAAAATGGCCTGAATTCAACTCAAAAATGTCCCCCAAAATGGCCCGAATTCAACCCAAAAATGTCCCCAAAATGGCCCGAATTCGACCCAAAAATGGCCCTAATTTGACCCAAAAATGTCCTCAAAAATGGCCCTAATTCGACCCAAAAATGTCCTCAGAAATGGCCCGAATTCGACCCAAAAAATGTCCTCAAAAATGGCCTGAATTCGACCCAAAATGTCCCTAAAAATGGCCTGAATTTGACCCAAAAATGTCCCCAAATTCACCCCCAAAACCCACTGAGATTCACTCCAAAATCTCCCCAAAATGTCCCAAATTCACCCCAAAAATGTCCCAAGTCTATCCCCAAAATATCCCAAATTTACCCCAGAAGTGTCCCCAAAAATGTCCTGAATTCACCCCAGAAACGTCCCCAAAAATGTCCCGAATTCACCCCAAAGATGCCCCAAAAATGTCCCAAATTCACCCCAAAATATCCTGAATTGAAATATCCCAAAACCGCCCGGATTCACCCCAAAATGTCCCAAAACAGCCCCAAAATACCCAATGTCCCTAAATGTCCCCAATGTCCCCAATCCCCTCAAATGTCCCCATTGTCCTCAACGGCCCCGATGTCCCCAATGTCCCCTCAATGTCCCAAATGTCCCCAAACCCCCACAATGTCCCCAACCCCCACAATGTCCCCATTGTCCCCAATGTCCCCAAATCCCCCAAATGTCCCCAACCCCTCCAATGTCCCCAATGTCCCCGCTGATGTCCCCACCGGTGTCCCCAGGGGGGTGGACCTGGTGGTGGAGGTGGCACACCCGTGTGTGACACAGGAGCACGGCGAGGACATCCTGGGACACGCCGACCTCATGGTGACACCGTGGGGACACCGCGGACGTGGCCCCAATGTCCCCAAACCCCCCCCAATGTCCCCGATGTCCCCAAATCCCCTCAATGTCCCAAATGTCCCCAAACCCCCCCCCAATGTCCCCGATGTCCCCAAATCCCCTCAATGTCCCAAATGTCCCCAAACCCCACAATGTCCCCAATGTCCCCAATGTCCCCATTCCGCCCATTGCTCCTGATGTCCCCATTGTCCCCACTGACCCCAATGTCCCCAATCCCCACGATGTCCCCGATATCCCCAACCCCTCCCATGTCCTCAATGTCCCCATTGACCCCAATGTCCCCTCTGTCCCCAATGCCCCCAATATCTCCAATACCCCCAATGTCCCCACAATGTCCCCAATCCCCCCATTGCCCCCAATTCCCCCCATTGTCCCCAATGTCCCCACTGACCTCAATGTCCCCACCGTCCCCACTGATCCCAATCCCCCCAATGTCCCCATTACCTCCATTGATCCCCATGTCCCCGATGTCCCCATTGCCCCCAATCCCCCCAATGTCCCCAATCCCCCACTGACCCCAATGTCCCCATTCCCCCCATTGTCCCCAATGTCCCAAAGTCCCCATTATCCCCATTCCCCCCAATGTCCCCATTCCCCCCATTGCCCCCAATGTCCCCATTCCCCCCAATGTCCTCATTGTCCCCATTCTCCCCAATGTCCCCAATGTCCCCATTCCCCCCATTGCCCCCAATGTCCCAAAGTCCTCATTGTCCCCAATGTCCCCAATGCTGTCCCCAGCTGGGGTCCCCCACGGCGCTGGCGGACGCTGACACCGAGGGGCGGCTGCGGGCGGCGGCGGTGCGCGGGGGCCACACCCTGTACGTCCCCCGGGGGGCGCTGTGGGGCTGCGAGGACATCGCCAGGATGGACAGCGCGGGGACACTGCAGGTGACACTGATGGGGACATTGGGGACATTGGGGACAATGGGGGGAATGGGGACATGGCCAGGATGGACAGCGCGGGGACACTGCAGGTGACACCAATGGGGACACTGGGGACATTGGGGTCAATGGGGATAATGGGGGGAATGGGGGGAATGGGGACATCGCCAGGATGGACAGCGCGGGGACACTGCAGGTGACACTGGGGACACTGGGGACATTGGAGTTAATGGGGGTATTGGGGACATAGGGTATAATGGGGTTAATGGGAGTAATGGGGACTTTGGGGACATTGGGGACAATGGGGACAATGGGGCCAGGATGGACAGCGCAGGGACACTGCAGGTGACAGTGATGGGGACATTGGGGACACTGCTGGGGACATTGGGGACACTTCAGGTCCCCTGATGCTATCCCCTGGTCGTGTTCCCTGGCTGTCCCCAGGCCCTGAAGGTGACAATGACAGTGACAATGACAATGTCCCTGTGCCCCCAGAGGTGACAATGACAATGACAATGTCCCTGTGTCCCCACAGGCCCTGAAGGTGACAATGACGAAGGCCCCGGGCAGTTTCCGTCCCCAGGGCTGGCTGTCCCCGCGGGTGGCGGCCGCGGTGGCCTCGGGGACAAGGACGGTGCTGTACGAGGGTCCCCTGAGGCCACTCTGTCCCCTTGTCCCCAACAACGTCAACACCATGGCGGCCGCCGCGGTGGCAGCGCCGCGCCTGGGCTTCGACGGCGTCACCGCCTGCCTGGTGGCCGACCCCAGGTGGGTGACACCTGTGTCACCTCCTGTGTCACCTGTGTGGCACCTGTGTGTCACCTCCTGTGTCACCTGTGGCGCCTCTGTGCTGTGTGTGTCACCTCATGTGGCACCTCCTGTGTCACCCCTGTCCCCTCAGCACCCCCTCATTGTCCCTCCAGTGCCACCCCAGTGTCCCCTCCCTGTCCCCTTACTGTCACCCTCAGTGTCCCCAATGTCCCCTCAGTGTCCCCGACTGTCACATCATCGATGTCGAGGTCACGGCCGTCCCTGAGCACGGCCGCTCCCTGACCGTCACCAGCACCCGCCGCAACCCTGCCGAGCCCGGCCGCGTCACCGGCAGCGCCACCCGCCACAGCTTCTGGAGCAGCGTGCAGGGTTTGTCACCTGTGTCACCTGTGCCAGCCCCGGTGTCACCTGTGCCACCCCCTCAGTGTCACCTGTGCCACCTCAGGGCCGCTCACTCTGTCCCCTCCCCGCAGCTTGCACCGGACACGGCGGCTGCGTGAAGCTCTGCTGAGGAGGAACGGCGGAAAAACCCGCGGGGACGATTTGGGGACAATTTGGGGACAATTTTGGGACAATAAAAACCTGGCAAGGCCTGGCGGTGCTGGCGCCCTTCTTGTAATGGCGGCGAGGGGAAGACGCGATCTGATTGGTGGGAAAACCGCCCGGAAGGAAGAGTTCTCACCGATGATTGGTTAACGCTGCGGTGCAAAGCATCACGGGAGCAAGGTCAAAGCTTTGATTGGTCAGCGTTCTGGCGGGAGGACGCTGGCGCGTTCTGATTGGTCAGCGCGTCGCAAAGCACGACGGGATTTGTAGTTCGCGGCCCTGAAGGGGCAGAGGCCGCTATGGCCCCGGAGGACGCGCGGGGTGAGGAGGGGGCGGCCGGGGCTGGATTTTGGGGGGTCCTGAGGGGTCCTGGGGGGTCTTGGGGAGGGCAGGAAGCGCTCGCGGGGGTTTTTGGGGGATCCAGAGGGGACTTGGGGCCAAGGGAGGCGGAGGCCGCGCTGAGGGCCCGTGAGGAGGGAAGGGCTGGGGAGGCCTGGGGGGGTTTGGGGGGTTCCGGGGGGATTTTGGTGGGATTTGAGGGGGGATTCAGGGTGGTCTGGGGGTTTTGGGGGTGCCAGGAACTTTTGGAGGGGATTTGGAGGGTCCTGGAAGGGGTTTTGGGGGGGTCTCAGGCGTCTGGGGGGGATTTTGGGGAGTCCTGGGGGGAATTTGAGGGTGTCAGGAATTTGGGGAGGGGTCTTGGGAGGTATTTGGGGGGTTCTGGGGGTCTCTGGGAGGGATTTTGAGGGAATTTTAGGGGGTTCCGAGGGGATTTTGGGGGGAATTTGAAGGAATTAAGAGGTGCCAAGAATTTGGAGAGAGGTCTCAGGGTGATTTGAGGGAATTTAGGGGGTATTTGGGGAGGGGTCTCAGGAGGGTTATGGGGAAATTTGGGGAGGGGTCTTGGGGTGATTTGAGGTAATTTTGGGGAAATTTGGGGAGGGGTCTTGGGGGATTTTGGGGGCAATTTGAGAGAATTTCGAGGGGAATTTGGGGAGGGGTCTCAGGGTGACTTGTGGGGAATTTGAGGAGAGGTCCTGGGAGATTTGAGGGAATTTGGGGAGGGGTCGTGGAGGGAATTTGAGGGATTTTTGGAGGGAGTTTGAGAGAATTTTGGGGGAATTTGAGGGGAATTTGGGGAGGGGGTCTCGGGGTTATTTGGGGGATTTTTGGGGGAATTTGTGGAGGGATCTCGGGGGGATTTGAAGGGAATTTGGGGAGGGGTTTCAGGGGTAATTTAAGGGAATTTTGAGGAGGGGGTCTCCCTGAATTTGGGGAAATTTTGGCAGGAATTTGAGGGAATTTGGGGAGGGGTCTCGGGGTTATTTGGGGGAATTTTTGGGGAATTTGGGGAGGGGATTTGGGGGAGTTTTGGGGCAAATTTGACAGAATTTTTGGCAGAATTTGGGGAGGGGCCTCGGGGGGGATTTGAAGGGAATTTGGGGAGGGGTCTCAGGGATAATTTAAAGGAATTTTGAGGAGGGGATCTCCCCGAATTTGAGTCTGGGGTCTCACGGTTCCCATACTCTCATTTCTCCCCGCAGCCCCCCAGGCCTCCCCCTCCCCTCTCCTGGATTTGGGGGGGGTCCTGGGGGAGGCCGATCTCCCCGATGTGGGGAAGGGGCTGCCCGGATTTGGGTCTGGGGTCCCGGGGGTGCCGTACCACGAGCGGCAGCGCCGGCAGCTCTGCGCCCTGCACGCCCTCAACAACCTCCTGCAGCGGCCCTGGCTCAGCCAGGCCTCGGCCGACCGCATCTGCCAGCGGTGAGACCCCAGACCCAATTCGGGAGAGGGCCGGGAGGGCTCTCAGGGAGGTTTCCTGAATTTGGGGAGGGGTCTCGTGAAGGTTTGGGGGCTTTGGGATGGGGTTTTGGAGGGGTTCAGGGGAGTTCTTGAATTTGGGGAGGGGTCTCAAAGGGGTTTCTGAATTTGGGGAGGGGTCTCGTGAAGGTTTGGGGGCTTTGGGATGGGGTTTTGGAGGGGTTCAGGGGAGTTCTTGAATTTGGGGAGGGGTCTTAGGAGGGTTCCTGAATTTGGGGAGGGGTCTCAGAGGGGTTTCTGAATTTGGGGAGGGGTCTCAGGGGGCTTTCTGAATTTGGGGAGGGGTCTCATGAGGGTTTGGGGGCTTTGGGATGGGGTTTTGGGGAGGTTCAGGGGAGTTCTTGAATTTGGGGAGGGGTCTTAGGAGGGTTCCTGAATTTGGGGAGGGGTCTCAGAGGGGTTTTAGGGTGATGGGAGGGGGTTTGGGGCTGGATTTGGGGTGATGGGAGGAGCTCTTGAATTTGGGGAGGGGTCTCAAAGGGGTTTCTGAATTTGGGGAGGGGTCTCAGGTCCCCTGGGGGGGTCCTAGAAGGGTTTCCTTAATTTGGGGAGGGGTCTCAGGGGGATTTTAGGGTGGTGGGAGGGGGTTAGGGGCTGATTTTAGGGTGATGGGAGGAGCTCTCGAATTTGGGGAGGGGTCTCAGAGGAGTTCCTGAATTTGGGGAGGGGTCTCGGGTCCCCTGGAGGGGTTCCTAGAAGGGTTTTCTGAATTTGGGGAGGGGTCTTGGTGAGGTTTGGGGGCTTTGGGAGGGGATTTGGGGCTGGATTTAGGGTGGTGGGAAGGGATTCTGAATTTGGGGAGGGGTCTCAGAGGGGTTTCTAAATTTGGGGAGGGGTCTCAGGTGGGATTTCCCATATTTGGGGAGGGGTTTCCCCTGTTGAAAATGACGTCATCACTTTGCGGGTTCCCCCAGTTGGGTCTGGGGTCTCCGAGGGTGTCTGGGTTAATTTGGGGAGGGGTCTCACCTTGAAGCCCCCCCCAGGTTGGCCCCAAATTCGCGGCCCAACCCCCACCGGAGCCTCCTGGGCCTGGGCAATTATGACGTCAACGTGGTGATGGCGGCGCTGGGAATGCTGGGATTGGCCGCGGTCTGGTGGGACAAGAGGCGGTGAGGCCCCGCCCCAAATTCCCCGAGACCCCGCCCCAAATTCCCTGAGAGCCCACCCCAAATTCCCTGAGACCCCGCCCCAAACCCCCCGAGACCCCGCCCCAAACCCCCCGAGACCCCGCCCCAAATTCCCTGAGACCCCGCCCCAAATTCCCCAAGACCCCAGACCCAAATTCCCCGAGACCCCGCCCCAAATTGCCTGAGGCCCCGCCCCAAATTCCCCAAGACCCCGCCCTAATTTCCCTGAGACCGCGCCCTAAATTCCCTGAGACCCCGCCCCAAACCCCCTGAGACCCCGCCCCAAATTCCCTGAGACCCCGCCCCAAACCCCCTGAGACCCCGCCCCAAATTCCCTGAGACCCCAGACCCAAATTCCCCGAGACCCCGCCCCAAATTCCCTGAGACTCCGCCCCAAATTCCCCGAGACCCCGCCCCAAATTCCCTGAGACCGCACCCCAAATTCCCTGAGACCCCTCCCCAAATTCCCCGAGACCCCTCCCCAAATTCCCTGAGACCCCACCCCAAATTCCCTGAGACCCCAGACCCAAATTCCCGACCCCTCCCACGACCCCAGACCCAAATTTGGGCCCTCCCTGAGACCCCAGACCCAATCTGGGACCCCCTAAACTCAGTTTGGGACCTCTCAGATCTCTCCTTTCTCTTGGGGTGTATTGGGATAAAAAGCAGTGAGACCCCTCCCCAGATTTGGGACAGACCCTCAAGACCCCAGACCCAAAGTCTGGACCCCTCCCAGGACCCCAGACTCAAATTTGGGACCTCCCTGAGACCCCAGACCCAAATTTGGGACCCCCTCAAACTCAGTTTGCGACCTCTCAAATTTCTTCTTTCTCTCAGGGGATTTTGGGATAAAAGGTGGTGAGACCTCTCCCCAAATTCGGGACACAGCCCTGAGACCCCAGACCCAAATTCCAGACCCCTCCCAGGACCCCAGACCCAAATTTGGGACCTCCCTGAGCCCCCAGACCCAAATTTGGGACCCCTCAACCCCAATTTGGGACCTCTCAGATCTCCCATTTGTCCTGGGGTGTTTTGGGAAATGCAATGGTGAGACCCCTCCCCAAATTCAGGACACACCCTCGAGACCCCAGACCCGAATTCCAGACCCTTCTCAGGACCCCAGACCCAAATTTGGGCCCTCCCTGAGCCCCCAGACCCAATTGGTTCCCCCTTCCCCCTCCACCTTTACCGTCCCCCATCTCCCACCACCTCCTTTAATTCCCCCCCCATTAATTACCTCACTTAATTAATGAATGAATTAATTAACCCTCATCATTCCCAGCCCCCTGGAGCGCCTGTGCCTGTCCCACGTGCTCGGCTTCCTGCTCAATGTCCCCTCCAGGGTGGCCTTGGGGACATTGGCGCTGCCCCTGTCCCGTCCCCACTGGGTGTGCGTGAGGCCCTTTGGGGACACCTTCTACAACCTGGACTCCAAACTGGCCACGCCCACCCCCATCGGGGCGGAGCCACAGCTCAGGTGACACCTGGGGACACCCTGGGGACATTGGGGTGGCATGTGGGGACACCTTGGGGACATTAAGGTGGCGTCTGGGGACATTGGGGTGGCATTTGGGGGCACTTTGGGTGGCATCTGGGGACATCTGAGGGCTCCTGGTGGCACCTTGGGACACCTGGAGACACCTGGGGACACCTGGGTGGCATCTGGGGACACCTTGGGACACCTGGATGGCATCTAGGGACACCTGGTTGTCCCCTGGTTGTCACGTGGCTGTCACCCCATTGTCACCTGGTTGTCCCCTTATTGTCACCTGTTTCTCACCTGTCTGCCCCCTCATTCTCACCCATTTGTCCCCTGTTTGTCACCTCATTGTCACCTTGCTGTCATCTTGTTCTCCCCTCACTGTCACCTGGTTGTCCCCTCATTATCACCTGGTTCCCACCCATTTGTCACCTCTTCGTCACCTCATTGTCACCTTGCTGTCACCTTGTTCTCTCCTCATTGTCACCTCGTTCCCACCTGTTTGTCCCCTCATTGTCACCTGTTTCTCACCTGTTTGTCCCCCGTTTCTCACCGGTTTGTCCCCCGTTTCTCACCTGTTTTTCCCCCGTTTGTCACCTCATTCTCACCTGGTTCTCACCTGTTTGTCCCCTCACTGTCCCCTGTCTGCCCCTGTTTCTCACCTGTCTGTCCCCTGTTTCTCACCTGTTTCTCACCTGTTTGTCCCCTGTTTGTCCCCTCATTGTTCCCTGTTTCTCACCTGTCTGTTCCCTGTTTCTCACCTGTTCTTCCCCTCATTGTCCTCTGTTTCTCGCCTGTTTGTCCCCTGTTTGTCCCCTTTTTCTCACCTGTCTGTTCCCTGTTTCTCACCTGTTTGTCCCCTCATTGTCCCCTTTTTCTCACCTGTCTGTCCCCTGTTTCTCACCTGTCTGTCCCCTGTTTGTCCCCAGGGAGTTCCTGCGGGCGGTGCTGGCCCAGGCTCCCTCCGAGCTGTTCCTGGTGGTGTCGCGGGACGTGGAGGAGGCGGGGACCTGGCTGAGCCCCGAGTGACACCTGAGGGACACCTGAAGGCACCTGGGGACACTTGGATGGCACCTGAGTGTCACTTGGATGTCACCTGGGTGGCACCTGGGGACACTTGGATGGCACCTGGGTGGCACCTGGTGACACCTGAGTGCACCTGGAGACACCTGGGAGTCACCTGGGTGGCACCTGGGGGCATCTGGGGACACTTGGGTGGCACCTGGGGACACCTGGGCACCTCTGTGGCATCAAATCCCTCCCAAAAAGGATTAAAAGCGATCGGTGGCAGCTCCGTGTCTGTGAGGTTGGACCAAAATCCCCAAATTTCACTCCAAATTCCCAAAATTTCACCCCAAAATCCCCGAATTTCACCCTTAAATCCCCAAATTTAACCCCAAAATTCCCGAATTTCACCCTAAAATCCCCAAATTTAACCCCAAAATTCCCGAATTTCTCCCCAAAATTCCCAATTTTCTCCCCTCATGGCCAGGGGCGGGAAGCCTGGGATGGGGGCGTCACCAAGCCTCAGACTCGCGCTCTGATTGGCTCTCTGCTTTGATTGACAGCAGCATTCATCCTGCGCAGCCAATCAGCGCGCGGCGTGGGGTTTGGAGGGTGTCGGAAACGCGCGGCTCTAAAATCTACGAATTTCACCCCAAAAAATCCCCAAATTCCTACCCAAAATCCCGAAAATTCTCCCAAATTTCACTCAAAACCACCAAATCCCTGAATTTCCACCCCAAAATGGCCAAATTGCAGCCCAAATCTGTGAATTTCACCTCAAAATCCCCAAATTTCACCCAAATCTTCAAATTCCACCTCAAACCCCCCAAGATCTCGAAGTTTTCCCCAAAATCTTCAAATTCCAGCTCAAAATCCCCAAGTTTCACACCAAATCCATTAATTTTGCCAAAAATCCCAAATTTTTGCCCCCATACCCCCAAATTCCAGTCAAAATCCCCAATTTTCACCCTAAAATCTCCAAATTTCGCCCCGAAATCCCCGAAATTCGCCCCAAAATCCCCGAACTTTTCCCCGAAATTCCCAAATTTCACCACCAAATCCCCAAATTTCCTCCCCTGAGCGGCGGGAAACCTGAGGCAAGGGGCGTGACCACCCCGATCCATGCTCTGATTGGCTGAGCTCTTTGATTGACACCCCATCGGGAGGGGTTTAGCCAATCAGCGCGCCGCGTGGTTTCGAGGGGGTCTGTGCCGCGCACCTCAAAATCGCCGAATTTCCACCCGAAATCCCTGAGTTTTACCCCAAAATCTCCGCATTTCGCCCACAAATTACAGAATTCCACCCCTAAATCCACAAATTTTCCCTAAAATCCCCGAATTCCACCCCAAAATAGCCGAGAATCTTCCCCACACGGGGATGCGGGAAACCTGAGGCGGAGGGCGTGACCACCCCTGAGCCGCGCTCTGATTGGCTCTGGAGTTTGATTGACACCATCTCTGTACCATCCCAGCCTATCAGCTCGCAGCATGCGGCTTCGGGGCAAAAATCCCCGAATTTCCACCTGAAATCCCCGAATTTCGCCCGAAACCCGGGAATTCGAAATCCCCGAACTTTTCCCAAAATCCCCGAGTTCCACTCCAAAATCTCCAAATTTCCTCCCTACAGCGCCGGGAGCGAGAAAACGCGAGGCGAGGGGCGTGACATCGCCAAAATCGTGCTCTGATTGGCTTCGCTATTTGATTGACAGGCATTCAGGAAGGGTTTAGCCAATCAGCGTTCACTACGGTGCCTGTGGAGGCGTCCGCGCCAATCGTCTCTCGGCCTTCCCTGGTGGTCTAGTGGTTAGGATTCGGCGCTCTCACCGCCGCGGCCCGGGTTCGATTCCCGGTCAGGGAAGATGCTTAATTCTTTTTACTTTATTTATTTTAATTTTTTTTCCCAATTTATTTCCGCTTCCGCTGGCGGAGTCCTGATTTTCCTTCACCCCCCTTATTTGGCGTTTCGTAGAAAAATAATTTATTAAGTAAAATTTTTAAAAGTGACGTAATGCATAAAACATCAGCGATACTGTCGCGACATGGTCACGACAGAGCGGAGGCACCGCTGGGATTCGAACCCAGGATCTCCTGTTTACTAGACAGGCGCTTTAACCAACTAAGCCACGGCGCCGCGCGCTCCCTGCGCCGCCATAATCCCAGGAAACCAAAATTTCCCCAAAAAGGAAAAACTCAAAAAATCCCAAATTTTTCTCCCCAAAAAAACCCAAGTTTCCCCTCCCCCAAAAGGGAAAACCCCCCAAATTCCCAAATTTCCTCTCCCCTAAAAAGGGAAAACCCCAAAATTCCCAAATTTTCCTCCCTAAAAAGTCCCAAATTTCTCTCTCCAAAAAGGCGAAACCCCAAAAATCCCACATTTTCCTCCCGCAAAAGGAAAACCCCCAAAAATCCCAAATTTCCCCTCCGCCCCAAATGGAAAAAAACCAAAATTCTCCCAAAAAGGAGAAAACCCCAAAATCCCAAATTTTTCCTCCACAAAAATCCCGAATTTGGCCTCCCCCCCAAAAAATGGAAAAAATTGAAATTAAATGGAAGCATTGCGGGGAAAATCGGAGGGAAAATAGGAAAAAATGAGCGGAAAATGGAAGGAAAAATGGGGAAAATGAGGGGAAAAAATTGAAAGTAAATGGAAAATTTGAGGGGAAACGGGAAAATTGCTGAAAAAAAGCGGGGAAAATAAGGGGGGGAATGGGAGAACTGAGGGAAAAATGCAAAAGAAATGGGAAACTTGAGGGGAAAATGACGGGAAAATGACGGAAAAAACCTTAAATAAATTGAAAAATTAAGGGGGGAAAGAGGGAAAATGAAGGAAAATGAAGGAAAATTAAAGGAAAAAAGGGAAAAATAATGGGAAAAAAAGGAGAAAATATCGAGTTAGCAGAGGATGGTTTCGATCCATCGACCTCTGGGTTATGGGCCCAGCACGCTCCCGCTGCGCCACTCTGCTCCTGAATCCGCCATTTTGAATAAACCTTAATGAATTTCGCAACGGGTGACGTCATCGCGCGGCGAAACTTCCGGGGTTTCTTCGCTGCCGGCGCCGCTTCCGTGCCGCGGTTTTCGCGCCAATTTCAATGGAATTTTTTTTCTCCAATTATTAATTTAAGTTCATTGTTGCGGTTTTTAATTTGATTTTCTATTTCTTAATATTTAGCCATATATTTTTTTAGATTTGATTTTCTTTTTAAGCTAATTTTTTGCTTTTTTTATTTTAATTTTCCTCCTTTTTAAAACTGAATTTTCCCTTTAATTTATTTTTCTTTTTTATCTCTATTTCCCTTTTTTGTTTGATTTCCCCTTTGTAAAATTTATTTTATCCTTTTTAAATTTAATTTTTCCCCTTTTTTAAATTTGAAATTCTTTTTTAAATTGAATTTTCCCCTATTTATTTAATTTAATTTCTATTTAATTTTCCTTTTTAATTAAATTTTCCTTATTTGTTAAATTTTTCCGTTTTATATTTAAAATTCTCTTTTTTTAAATTTAAATTTGCCCTTTTTTAAATAATTCAATTTTAATTCCTTTTTTAAATTAAATTTTCCCTTTTTTAATTGAATTTTCTTTATTTATTTCCCCTTCTTACAATTTTTCCCCTTTATTTTCCCTTTTTAATTTTATTTTCCCATTTAAAAAATTAATTTATCACTTTTCTACTTAATTTTCCTTTTTTACTTAATTTCCCTCCTATTTAATTTTTCCCTTTTTATTTAATTTCCCCTTTTAAATTTATTTTCCCCCTTTCCAAATTTATATGTTTCTCTTTTCAAAACTTATTTCCCCTTTTTCAAATTTAATTTTTCCTTTTCAAATTAATTTGATTTTTGAATTTGAAAAGAAAAAAATGGGGAAAAAAATGGGGTGGAAAAGGAGAAATTTGGGATAAAAACAAGAAAAAATTGGGATTTTTCCCGCATTTGACGAGGCCGGGATTCGAACTCGCGGTCTCTGGAGCTGAAGCCACGCCCAGGCCACGCCTCCAATCACGCCCCCGGAACTGGCCACGCCCCCTAAGGGCAGCCTATGGGCGCCTGGCGCAGGCGCGCAGCCGCGGACGAGGTGGCCGAGTGGTTAAGGCGATGGACTGCTAATCCATTGTGCTCTGCACGCGTGGGTTCGAATCCCACCCTCGTCGGGAGCCGAGTTTTTGTTTCAAAAACCCCGAAATTCGATTGTTTTGGGGTTAAATCCCAAATTCTCCAACCTCTGGAGATGATTTTTGGGGAAAACACCCCGATTTTGGAATCTATCTCTCCTAAAAATTCTCTATTTTGCTAATCCATCGTGCTCTGCACAATGGGTTTGAATCCCACCCTTGTCAGGACACAAATTTCGGGGTAAAAAACCCGGAATTCCAGTTTTTATGGGGTGATCTCAATTTTCCAAATCCCACCCTGATCTGGAACTCGGTTTTTTTTGGGGAAAAATCACCGATTTTTGGGGTCAAATCCTCGATTTTGGGGTTTGAAACCCAGGATTTTTGGGCTTCAACCCCCGATTTTCGGGGTGAAATCCCCGATTTTGGGATTAAATCCCGAATTTTGCAGATAAATCCCCGATTTTTGGGGGCAAAATCCCCGATTTTTGGGGTTTCTAGTCGCTGATTTTTGGGCTTCAATCCCCAGTTTTTGGCTTCAATCCCCGATTTTGGGTGAAATTCCTGATTTTTCGGGTTAAATCCACAGATTTTGGGCTTCGGTCTCTGATTTTTGGTGTTCAATTCCCTGATTTTTTGGGGTGAAATCCCCGATTTTGGGGTTTAATCCCATATTTGGTGGCGGGAAGGGAATCCCTGATTTTCGGGCTTGAATCCCAGATTTTTGGGTTTTAATCCCCGATTTTTGCCAGGAAATTCCCAATTCCAGGGTTAAATCTCCGATTTTTGTGGGGAAACCCCCGATTTTGGGGTTAAATCCATGATTTTTGGGGGTGATCCCAAATTTCCCAATCTCATCCTGATCGGAAATGCGACTGTGGGGTGAAATCCCCGATTTTTGGGCTTGAATCCCCGATTTTGGGGAGGAATTCCCAATTTTTTTTGTAAAATCCCCGATTTTTGTCAGGAAATTCCCAACTCCAGGGTTAAATCTCCGATTTTTGGGCTTGAATCCCCGATTTTGGAGTTAAACTCCCGATTTTGGGGAGGAATTCCCAAATATTTTTTTTTTTTTGGTGAAATCCCCGATTTTTGGGGGGAAATCCCCGATTTTGGGATCCCTCTCCGCCTGAAAATTCCCTTTTGAAGCCCCCTCAAATCCATCCCAGTTTGTCCCAGTTTGTCCCAGTTTGTCCCAGTTTGTCCCAGTTTGTCCCCGGTCCCTCCCAGTCCCCGCTCAGGCCCCGCCCATTCCGGATGTGACGTCATCGCGCGCGAGCGCGGCCGGAAGTGGCTCCGGGGGCGGCGGCGGCGGCGCCCGGTGAGAAACTGGGAGGGACTGGGAGGGAACTGGGACAAACTGGGATGGACTGGGAGGGACTGGAATTTACTGGGATTTACTGGGGCCGTTCCCAGGTGGATCCCGAATCCCAAATCCCGAATTTGGGGGGGGATCCCAAATGCCGAAGTTTTTGGGGTCCCAAATCCTGAATTTTGGGCCAAATCCTGAATTTTGGGCGTCTCTAATCCCGAATTTTGGGGGGGGGGGGGTCCCAAACCCATCCCAGAGATCCCTGAGGGGATCCCAAATCCCAGCCCAGGGAATCCTAAAATCCCAAATTTCCCCTCAGGGGATCCCAAATCCCAGACATCCTTGGGAGGATCCCAAATCCCAACCCAGGGAATTCCCAAATCCCAAATCCTGAGGCCTCCTTTGTGGCCCCAAAATTCCAATCCCAGATTTTGGGCTCCTTATGCGGCCTTGGAATTCCCAAAATTCCGATTCCCAAACTTTGGGATTTTGATCCCTGGTGGCGGCACCAAAGTTCCCGAAATTCCGATCCTAGATTTCGGGATCTGAGATTATTTTGGGATCCCGGATTTTTGGGATCCCGGATTGTTGGGATTTTGGGTTCCTGGATTAATTTGGGATTTTCAGAACCGCTCAAATCAAATTCTCTGGAATTCCCCAATTTTTATTTTGTTTTTGGGGTCGTTCCTGGGATTTTTCAGATCCCTGAGCTCTGCCCAGGGGGGTCCTCGAGGGGATCCCAAATCCATCCCAGGGAATTCCCAAGGGGATCCCCAAATTCACCTCAGAATTCCCAATTTAGGAATCCCCCAAATCCCGCTCGGAATCCCCAATTTGGGAATCCCCCAAATCCCGCTTGGAATCCCCAATTTGGGAATCCCCAAATCCACCTTGGGGTGTTCCCGGGATTCCCCAAATCCAGCTCAGGAAATCCCCAAAGGATTTGGATCAGGAAATCCCTAAAGGATTTTTGGGGATCCCCAAATCCGTCCCTGGGGGGGAAATTCCCAAATCCCAATCAGGGAATTCCCAATTTGGGAATCCCCAAATCCACCTTAGGGCGTTCCTGGTATTCCCCAAATCAATCCCAGGGAATTCCCGAGGGGATCCCCAAATTCAGCTCAAGGGATCCCCAAATCAATCCCAGAAAAATTCCCGAGGGATCCCCAAATCCATGGCGGGGGCTCCCCAAACCCGGCCCGGGGAATTCCCAAAGTGGATCCCAAATCCCACTCAGGGAATTCCCAATAAGGGAATCCCCAAATCCCGCTCGGAATTCCCAATCTGGGAATCCCCAAATTCCCACGGAATTCTCAAAGGGAATCCCCAAATCTACCTCGGGGTGTTCCCGGGATTCCCCAAATCCCCCTCAGGAGATTCCCAAAGGGGATCCCCAAATCCATCCCAAGGAATTCCCGAGGGGAGCCCCAAAATCCATCCCAGAGAATTCCCAAATCCATTCCCTGGGAATTCCTGGGGAGGGGATCCCCAAATTCAGCTCCAGGAGTTTCCAAGGGATCCCCAAACCCTCACCTGTCCCTCACCTGTCCCCCCTGTCCCCGCTTTTCCAGGTGTGGCCATGGAGAGCCATCCCCCCTTTGCCCAGGTGAGCCCTCACCTGTCCGAGGAGGAGGAGGAGGAGGAGGAGGAAGGACCAGGTGAGGAGGAGGAAGGGACAGGTGAGGAAGGAACAGGTGAAGAACCAGGTGAGGAAGAAGATCCAGGTGAGGAGGAAGAGCCAGGTGATGATGAAGATGCAGGTGAAGAGGATCCAGGTGATGGTGAGGAAGAACCAGGTGAGGAAGAACCGGGAGATGATGAAGATGCAGGTGAGGAGGATCCAGGTGATGATGACGATGAAGATCCAGGTGATGATGAAGATCCAGGTGATGATGATGAAGATCCAGGTGATGATGATGAAGACCAAGACCACTCCCACCCAGGTGCCTCCCTCCAGGTGCGCCCCTCTCCAGGCGCCCCCTCCAGCTCCTCCCGCCGGCCCCGCCTTTACCTGCGGCCACGCCCACGCCCCGCCGAGCCCGGCCCCTCCCACCTGCAGCTCCCCTGGGCCCACCCAGGTGCCCCAGGCTCGGGGCCCACCTCACCTGAGCCAGGTGAGGCCGCGGCGCCCGGCTTCGTGCAGCTCATCGACGAGCGCGGCGTCTACTCCACCGCCAAGCTGGTGCTGGGCGGGCGCTCAGGTGCGGCGCCAGGTGAGGAGGCCGGGAACGACGGAGAGGACGAGGCCGGTAAGGAGGAAGAGGAGGAGCTGCCCGCTCACCTGGAGATCCGCCAGGTGATCGTGGCCGACAAACCCTTCCAGTGCCCCGCCTGCCACAAGAGCTTCAAGCGCACCTGGGAGCTGCTGAGCCACCAGGTGGTGCACACGGAGGCGCGGCCCTTCACCTGCCACCTGTGCCGCGCCACCTTCAAGCGCCACTCGGACTTCAAGAGCCACGCCCTGGTGCACACGGAGGAGCGGCCGCACAGGTGCGAGCTGTGCGGGAAGCGCTTCAAGCGCTCCTCCAACCTGCAGGAGCACCGCCGCATCCACAGCGGCCAGCGCCCCTTCACCTGCCCCAGGTGCGCCAAGTCCTTCAAGACGCCCTACGAGCGCCAGCGCCACGCCCTGACCCACCTGGCGGCCGGCAAGAAGCCCTTCAGGTGCGGCGAGTGCGGCAAGGATTTCCCGGCGGCCAACGCGCTGCTGCTGCACCGGCGGCACAGGTGCGAGGACAAGCCGCACGCCTGCGGCGTCTGCGGCAAGCGCTTCACCTACGGCCACTCGCTCAAGGTGCACGAGCGCGTGCACACGGGCGACCGCCCCTTCCGGTGCGCGCTCTGCGGCAAGGCCTTCAAGCAGAGCAACGCGCTGGCCTCGCACGAGCGCGTGCACACGGGCGAGCGCCCCTTCGCCTGCCGCACCTGCGGCAAGGCCTTCAAGCAGTCCTCCTACCTGGCCATCCACCAGCGGGCGCACACGGGCGAGCGGCCCTACGGCTGCGAGGCCTGCGGGAAGGCGTTCGCGCGGCCCTCGCTGCTGCTGCAGCACCGGCGCGTGCACAGCCAGGCGAGGCCGCACCAGTGCAGCCACTGCCACAAGTTCTTCAAGGACCTGGCCTACCTGGCCGTGCACGAGAAGGTGCACACGGGGGAGACGCCCTACAAGTGCGGGGTGTGCGCCAAGGGCTTCGCCCACCCCTCCAACCTGCTGCAGCACCAGCGCGTGCACCGCGACACCTGAGCGCCCACCTGGGACGGGTGAGCACCCTGGAAAGGTGGGGTGGTGTCACCTGGATCACCTGAGCCCCAGTGGATGAAGCCCCAGGTGGAAGGACTCGGTACCTGTGAGCCCGGACAGGTGTGGAGCCCAAAAATTGAGTTTGGACACCAGAAAGGTGCGGCAGCAACACCTGGACAGGTGTGGACCCCAAAAATTGAGTTTGGACACCAGAAAGGTGTGGAGGGAACACCTGGACAGGTGTGGACCCTGGAAAGGTGTGGTGGCATCACCTGAGCCCAATGGATGAAGCCCCAGGTGAAAGGACTTGGTACCTGTGAGCCCGGACAGGTGTGGAGCCCAAAAATTGAGCTTGGAGCCCAGAAAGGTGTGGAGGGAACACCTGGACAGGTGTGGACCCCAAAAATTGAGTTTGGAGCTCAAAAAGGTGTGGAGGTAACACCTGGACAGTGACACCTGAGCCCAGGTGCGGGAACCCCAGAACTGCACACCTGGACAGGTGTGGACCCTGGAAAGGTGGGGTGGTGTCACCTGAGCCCAATGGACGAAGCCTCAGGTGAAAGGACTCAGTACCTGTGAGCCCGGACAGGTGTGGACCCAAAAAAAAGGGGTTTGGACCCAAAAAAGGTGTGGAGGTAACACCTGGACAGTGACACCTGAGCCCCAGGTGTGGGAACCCCGAATCTGCATCCCAGGACAGGTGTGGACCTGAAACTTCACACCTGGACAGGTGCGGGAACCCTGGAACCGCACACCTGGACAGGTGTGGAGCCCAAAAATCTGCACCTGCAACACCTGGACAGTGACACCTGAGCCCCAGGTGAGGGCACCTCAGCCAGGTGTGGACCCCAAAATCTGCAACACCTGGACAGGAACACCTGAGTAAGACCTGAACCCCAGGTGAGGAGATCCTGGCCAGGTGTGGACCCCAAAATCTGCAACACCTGAGCCACTTGTGAGGGACCCCTGGACAGGTGTGGACCCCGAAATCTGCAACACCTGAGCCCAGGTGAGGGACCCCAGCACGGCCACACCTGAGCTGTGACGTCATCAACAGCAGACGAGGAACTGAGGGACCCCCAGGGCACACCCGGGGCACACCTGGGACACACCTGAAACACACCTGGGCACACACCTGGGCACACACCTGGGCACACACCTGGGCACTCACCTGGGCACTCACCTGGGCACAGGATGGACTTGGGTGAGGTTTGTGGAGCTCCAGGTGCACCTGGGACTGGGCAGGCGCACACCTGGATGGGGCAGGGTCACACCTGAGTTCACCTGAACACACCTGGAGCTCACCTGGGACACACCTGGAGCACACCTGAGCTCACCTGAACACACCTGGAGCTCACCTGGGCACACCTGAACACACCTGGAGCTCACCTGAACACACCTGGAGCACACCTGAACACACCTGGAGCTCACCTGAGCTCACCTGTCCCACCTTTCCGGGCGGCACCTGTAGCGCTGGGGGTGGGCGGGGCACACCTGGATCATTCATTAAAGGATCGTTAATTGATGACGTCATCGCCGGTCTCACCTGCGGCTTCGGGGGGCGGAGTCAGCGGGCAGGTGTGGGGGGAGGACCCCCAAAATTCACACCTGGAGGGGATGGGGTCACCTGAGATTCACACCTGGGGGGGCAGGGACTTCCCAAAATTCACACCTGGAGAACAAGAAACCCCAAAATTCACAGCTGTCACACCTGGGGGGGGGTCGGGGGACCCCAAAATTCACACCTGGAGGCTCCAGACGCCATTTTTTAAATTTATTCACCTGCCCAGGTGTGCGGGGACACCTGAGCTGCCAGAAAGGGAGGAGGGGCCAGGTGAGGATCCAGCTCCGCCATGTCTGGGGGGAGAAGGGGAGCCCCAAAATTAACCCAAAATCACCTGAAATTCACCCAAAATCACCCACGGGGGTCCCAAATTCACCCCCAGTCCCTCCCAGTCCCCTCCTAGCCCCCCCCATGACGTCACGCACCGCCCGATGACGTCACCGCGGCCTCAGCCGGGCCCGGAGCGCGGCGGCCCCGCCGGGAGGGGGCGGGGGCGGGGGGGAACTGGGACGCAGCGGGCGCGCGGTGATGACGTCACAGCGCCGGCAGCCAGAGCCAGCGGAAGTGACGTCGCAGAGCCGCGCGCCGGGAGCGGAAGTGACGCAATCGAGGCCGCGACAGGAACGGCGGGAGGTACCGGAGGGAAAATTTGGGGGAAATTTTGGGGGAAATTTTGAAATTTTGGGGGGTTTGAGGACGGGGAGGGGACTCGGGGGCGGGGAGGGCGCTCGGGGCTGCTCCCAGCGCTCCCAGTTTGGGGATTGGTTTCACTGGGAGGCGGCTCCAGGCCGCGTTTCCCCCCTCCCAGTGCTCCCAGTTCCCCTCCCAGTCCCTCCCAGTCTCTCCCAGTTCGGGGCTGTCTCTCACTCCGGGGCTCTCCAGGCCCCGTTCCCTCTCTCCCAGTGCTCCCAGTCGCTCCCAGTTTGCCCAGTTCAGGATGTCCCTGGCCGACGAGCTGCTGGCAGACCTGGAGGAGGCGGCGGGGGAGGAGGAGGAGGCCGAAGGCTCCGAGGGGGGGGAGGAGCCCCCGATCGAGGACGTGCGGGAGGAGCCGGAGCCGCCCGAGGGCGCCGAGTCCGTCAGGAGCATCGCCAAATTGTGGGGGTCTAAAGGGGTAAAAATGCACCCAAAATAGCCCCAAAATCTCCTGAAATCAGCCCAAAAATATCCCCAAAATATCCGGAAATTATCCTGAAATTATCCCCAAAAATATCCTGAAATCATCCCAAAATTATCCCAAAAATATCCTGAAATATCCTGAAATCACCCCAAAAATATCCCCAAAAATATCCTGAAATCACCCCAAAAATATCCTGAAATCAGCACAAAAATATCCCCCAAAATATCCTGAAATCACCCCAAAATTATCCGGAAATCACCCCAAAAATATCCCCAAAAATATCCTGAAATCACCCCAAAAACATCCCCCAAAATATCCTGAAATATCCTCAAAAATATCCTGAAATCACCCCAAAATTATCCCTAAAAATGTCCTGAAATAACCCAAAAATATCCTGAAATCACCCCAAAAATATCCTGAAATCATCCCCAGAAATATCCCCGAAAATATCCTGAAATATCCTCAAAAATATCCTGAAATCACCCCAAAATTATCCCCAAAAATATCCTGAAATCACCCCAAAAACATCCCCAAAAATATCCCAAAATCACCCCAAAAATATCCCAGAAATATCCTGAAATTATCCCCAAAAATATCCTGAAATCACCCCAAAATTATCCCCAAAAATATCCTGAAATAACCCCAAAAATATCCTGAAATATCCCCAAAAATAACCTGAAATCACCCCAAAAACATCCCCAAAAATATCCTGAAATCACCCCAAAAATAGCCCCAAAAATGTCCCCAAAATATCCTGAAATCACCCCAAAAAATCCCCAAAAATGTCCTGAAATTACCCCAAAAATAACCCCAAAAATATCCTGAAATCACCCCAAAAATAACCCCAAAAATATCCTGAAATAACCCCAAAAATATCCCCCAAAATATTCTGAAATCACCCCAAAAATATCCCCAAAATATCCAGAAATTATCCTGAAATTATCCCCAAAAATATCCTGAAATAACCCCAAAAATATCCCCAAAAATGTCCTGAAATCACCCCAAAATTATCCCCAAAAATATCCTAAAATCACCCCAGAAATATCCCCAAAACTATCCTGAAATATCCTCAAAAATAGCCTAAAATCACCCCAAAATTATCCCAAAAATGTCCTAAAATCACCCCAGAAATATCCCCAAAAATATCCCGAAATCACCCCAAAAACATCCCCAAAAATGTCCTGAAATCACCCCAAAAACATCCCCCAAAATATCCTGAAATATCCTCAAAAATATCCTGAAATCACCCCAAAATTATCCCTAAAAATGTCCTGAAATAACCCAAAAATATCCTGAAATCACCCCAAAAATATCCTGAAATCATCCCCAGAAATATCCCCGAAAATATCCTGAAATATCCTCAAAAATATCCTGAAATCACCCCAAAATTATCCCCAAAAATATCCTGAAATCACCCCAAAAACATCCCCAAAAATATCCCAAAATCACCCCAAAAATATCCCAGAAATATCCTGAAATTATCCCAAAAATATCCTGAAATCACCCCAAAATTATCCCCAAAAATATCCTGAAATAACCCCAAAAATATCCTGAAATATCCCCAAAAATAACCTGAAATCACCCCAAAAACATCCCCAAAAATATCCTGAAATCACCCCAAAAATAGCCCCAAAAATGTCCCCAAAATATCCTGAAATCACCCCAAAAAATCCCCAAAAATGTCCTGAAATTACCCCAAAAATAACCCCAAAAATATCCTGAAATCACCCCAAAAATAACCCCAAAAATATCCTGAAATAACCCCAAAAATATCCCCCCAAAATATTCTGAAATCACCCCAAAAATATCCCCAAAATATCCAGAAATTATCCTGAAATTATCCCCAAAAATATCCTGAAATAACCCCAAAAATATCCCCAAAAATGTCCTGAAATCACCCCAAAATTATCCCCAAAAATATCCTAAAATCACCCCAGAAATATCCCCAAAACTATCCTGAAATATCCTCAAAAATAGCCTAAAATCACCCCAAAATTATCCCCAAAAATGTCCTAAAATCACCCCAGAAATATCCCCAAAAATATCCCGAAATCACCCCAAAAACATCCCCAAAAATGTCCTGAAATCACCCCAAAAAACATCCCCCAAAATATCCTGAAATATCCTCAAAAATATCCTGAAATCACCCCAAAATTATCCCTAAAAATGTCCTGAAATAACCCAAAAATATCCTGAAATCACCCCAAAAATATCCCCAAAAATATCCTGAAATCACCCCAAAAATATCCCCAAAAATATCCTGAAATCACCCCAGAAATAGCCCCCAAAATGTCCCCAAAATATCCTGAAATCAACCCAAAAATCTCCTGAAATCACCCCAAAAATATCCCCAAAAATGTCCTAAAATCACCCCAGAAATATCCCCAAAAGTATCCTGAAATCACCCCAAAAATCTTCTGAAATCACCCCAAAAATATACCCAAAATATATGGAAATTATCCTGAAATCACCCCAAAAACATCCCCAAAAATATCCTGAAATCACCCCAGAAATACCCCAAAAAATATCCTGAAATCACCCCAAAAATATCCCCCAAAATGTCCTGAAACCACCCCAAAAATATCCTAAAAATACCCTAAAATTATCCCAAAAAATATCCTGAAATCACCCCAAAAATATCCTGAAATTATCCCAAAAATATCCTGAAATTATCCCAAAAATCTCCCCCAAAATATTCCCAAAAATACCCTGAAATTATCCTGAAATGATTCCAAAAATTACCTAAAAATTATCCTAAAATTATCCTAAAAAATATCATAAAAATCACACCCAAATCACCCCAAAATATCCTAAAAATACCCTAAAATTATCCCAAAAATATCCTGAATTCACCCCAAAAATATCCAGAAATTATCCCAAAAATTTTCCTGAAATTATCCCAAAAAATATCCCAAAATTATCCTGGAATTATCCTGAAATTATCCCAAAAATATCCCAAAATTATCCTGAAATTATCCCAAAAATATCCCAAAAATATCCCAAAATATCCCTAAATCCCCAAAATCCCAAAATTTGGGATCCTAAATCCCCAAATCCAATTTTTCAGAG